GACTTGAAAATGGCTCTACCTTACTTCACAATATAAAATTTAGTTTTTAGATGACAGCAAACAAACACATTTTTGTTACATATGAGGAAACTCAGACAACAGGTTTAACTGTCACAGAAAAGAGAACGTGAATCTTAACCGGTCCCATTGTCCTCACATCTCTCTCCTGGGTGCACACCTCTCCACGTTATTTCTTTCCCATGTGCCTGGTCCTAAATCAAGGAATTACCCTGGTTTCTTTGGTGTCTTTTCATGTGCTTTATAGTGTAAGTACACCACATGGTTGCCAAAACTGTACCTCTTCACTGATCCTGAAGTCGTAAGTCACAGGTTTTAACCTTTTTTTCCTGATGTTTCTACTGTTCTTCTTGGTTGTCCTGGCCTCTGTTCCTCTCTCTACCTACTTCTTTCCCCAGCTTCTTCATTGCCCTGTGCCTAATTTCCCACCCTTGAGATGCATTCTCTCTCCCCAGACTCACCCTCTAGGCCCATTTGAACAACTACTTTATCCAGGACATCATTCTCCATGCCTATTAACAAGCCTCCCACTACCTGTAGATATTAATGCCTTAAAGACATTAAATAATATCTATGAATTTTTCCAGCCAGTGACCTTCAACTTTATCATTGCTCTCTGTTCATCCCCAGGAGCCCCTTCATTCCTTTGTAATCATACACCCCATGTCTCTATTAACTGGCAGGCACCATATCCCTAACGTTCCTTAGCTCTTTGCCCCCTGTATGCCCCACCCATACCTCTTTCTGGACATTCGATGAGCTTTGGCTGTTTCCCCTTCTACCTGCTCTGTTTCCCCCCTCCGTATTTCCTTAGCATCCCATGATCTTCACCCCCATCTTGTCCCTGTGTCCCCCTGTTCTCTGGGATCTCTTGCTTACCACTTCTATATCACACCCATGCAGTGTCACTGCCCCAAACCTTCTACATTTCTGCCACAGGTCTTGACCTGAATGGTAAGCCTCCCAGCATTTATGAAGATGATTCACTATAAGAATTGTCCTTGCAGGGTTGGGGGGATTACAAAAAATAGGAAGGGCTTCTTTTCTGTGGTCACCCCTTAAGGCTGCTGAGATGATGTTAGTGGCCCCTGGCAGATCTGATTCTTAAAGAAATGGTAGGTCTGGCCTGTTGAAGCATCTGATCCTGCTGCTGTCTTGGTGAAGGAGCATTCTGTGTTGTTTAACAAATATTGTTGTGTTTCTCCCTTCAGTCACTGATGACATCAGTATGGGTATATTTATCCACAAAATTTTGGTATTAGTTGGCAATAAATTGTGCAAATGAGGGAAGTTAACTGACTTGCATTAGGCAGATGAGTACAATGACTTCCAAGGTGATCTATCAGCATCATGTTCTTCTCTTGCTCTGTGTGTTTTAAAATTTTGTCAAATGCTATGCACCTAGTAATCGTCTAAATGATGGTGCCACTCAGTGAAGCAATGAATAAAACTTAACTATATTTGGAGTAGAAAACGTCACACGGAAGTGAGGAATGCAACGGGACAGGTATAGCTTACTGCCAGTCGCTCCCATGACAGACTTTGGGATTCCCTGCCATCTCCAAGTGACCTCCTATCTGCCCCCAGGGATCAGGGATAAGTAAGAGCCTCCTCAATACTCCAGGATTCCCTGGGGAGGAAGTTTTCCGCATTGTCCTCAGCTTCCCTAGCTGGCTGCTACAGGCACAGTGAAAATTGCAGGTCCCAGGGCAGGTGAGGTCACAGTCACAGACCCGTATCTCAGGAGCTGGCCGCCTCCCTGCAGCACAGGTCCCGGTCACAGAGGCCTCTGCACTGAAAGCACCATCTGGATAAACAGAATGAGCCTGATGAGTAATCCAGTGTTTTTCTGAGGGGCAAAATATGTGGGAAAAATCAATTTCTGTTTAAAAATGTTTTTGTGGATGCATTATAGTCACACAAAATAGTGGTTCATTTTGACACCATCATAACTGCATGGAATATCCCCAGTACACCTTCTTTTCCTACCTTCCTTTTCCCTATGTTGCTTTATCTACTCGAATGGTATTTATCCTATCTATTTTTTGGTGCTTTATATATAAAGGTGAAATTCACTGTGGTTTGCTCATATGTGCACAGAGCATAATCTGCTCAATTATATTCAGCAGTTCTTCCCTTTTCCTGTCCTTCCCCACCCAGTGCCCTTCCTCCACTCTAAAGTTCTCCATTCTCTTTTCATGGAAACCTCCCTTTTTGCCCTTATATTACTCTAGCTTCTACATAGGGGAGAAAAAATTCCAGTCTGGCTTATTTCACTTAGCCTGATGTTTTCCAGTTCTGTGCATTTGCAAACAAATTCTATAACTTCATTCTTCTTTATGGCTGAGTAAAACTCCATTGTGTGTGCACATTGGTGTATATACAATATTTTCTATATATATTGTATTTGTGTATATATATATATATATATATAAAGTAAATGTATACACAATACATATTCACATTTTCTTTATCCATTCATCTTTTGATGGGCACTCGATCTGGTTCCATAACTTGGCTATTGTGAATTGCATTTCTATAAGGATCGATAGGAAAGAATCATTATGGTGTGCTGATTTTAGTTCTTTTGTATAGTCACTGAGGAGTGGAATTGGTGGGTCATATTATTGTTCCCTTCGTARTCTTCCAAGGAATCTTCAAAACTGATTTCCAAAGTGGTCATTCTAACTTGTAGTCCCCTGAAAAATACACATGTACCTTTTTCTAACACCTTTGTCTGCATTTATCATTAATTGCAATCTTATTGATTGCCATCCTAACTGGAGTGAGGATAAGTCTTCAATGTAGTTTTTACATTTTCTTGTTTCTTCTTTTGAGAAATGTCTATTTGGTTCTTGTGCACATTTATTGTTTGGGTTATTCATTCTTTGTCTTTTTGGTGTGAAGCTTTTTGAGTTTTTAATACACTATGGATATTAATCTCTTCTGTTGGAGAGGCACTGACAAACATTTTTTTCCAGTCCATATTAGTGTTCTTCAGTAGGTTGAGAAAGTAGTTCTTAAAGATAGTAAAATTGCTATTATATTCTATAGGGGCTACAAAGGGGAGAAGAGAAAAAAAATGGAAAAGAAGAAAAGATACAATAACACAAACTAAGGTAAAAAAAGGTGAATCAATGTGAGGTTATTTGAGGCAGGAGTAGGTAATACAAGAAGTAAACATGAAATTAAGAGGAGCAAGTATAAATATACATTAGGAAAGCAAAGATAAAATGTTTCTAGTTAATGCTTTAAAACAGGAAATACAATCAATTGAGGTGAAGGCTGCGATGCCAAATAAACAGGACATGTCCATTCAATATGAAAAGCAATACCAGTAAGATAAAAATTGACATTAGAAGTATTTATGATATTCCATGCCAAAGTGGGGAGTGTTCTTGGATCTTCCTGATTTGGATTCTATCAGGGTTTGGAATGCTTTAAAGATGCCGAGTACTCCTTGTCTTTGCCTCTCTTTTTCCCTGGTGTGGAGGTAGTGATCAGACCAGCTCACCTCAGATACAATTCTAGGAGGCTCCTCTCATCTTTCATGTGTTGAGGTACTTACTAGCTTTTTGGTGGGTCAGAGTAGACAGTCCTGAATTGTCTGATTTGGTCAGTTACCCCCATTAGGGATAAGTAAGAGCCTCCTCAATACTCCAGGATTCCCTGGGGAGGAAGTTTTCCAGAGTTTTGTGAATCCTCCTGAAGAAAATCTCTGTGACCAGCCCTCTCAGATCCAATATGGGTTCCACCTTATGTACTCTGGAGCATGCAGGGTGCAGTGGTGTAAGGTGGAGGTACTATAGTCAGGATGACATGGCTGTATGGCCCATGTGAGGGTCTCAGGTGGGTGGGGTTTTATCAGGCCACACTGGGAAGTGGTTGGTGTCAGTGGGATACTCCTCTATAAATCCCTTTTTGGGGTGTACTGCCCTTATCTATTCAAGGAGGTTCTCTGCTGGTTGCATGGGGTTCTCCTAGGGGAAATGCCATTTGTGGTTCAGTGCATCTGAATGAGAATTAGCTCTCAACTCTGGGACACCCGGCAGGGCCTCTCCTGCAGGTGCTGGGGCAAGTAAGCTGCATTATTCTCAGAAAAAAAAAAATCAGACTGAGAAAAAGCATCTAAGAAGGATGTCTAATGAGATAAGAAAAAAAGGAAGAACATAATGTCTTAATTTACCTTCAAATTCCAAAGATTTGTGTAGCTGAATGTGAATTAATTTTAAAAATAATGATATACAGATATTATAGAACTTACTTTATGAATATTGCCCCAGGATGGCCACCATTTCCCTGCATTCTTCCTGGATATAATCAGGCCCTAAGAACACACTCCTTTTCTCCAATAAAAAGCCCAGTCCCTACAGTCTTGGCTGCCCTACTTCAGGCAGTTTGTAGAGTGTTCCTTACCCCTTTCCACTATGGACAATATGGACAAGGGGGCACAGACCACCACAGACAGGATGACTGACATCCTAATTCTACATCCGGCTCAGCCCCTTTGAAATACTCTTTGATGCAGATAATATTGACTTTTAACAAGGAGTGTTCTCCACCTCCAGGAGCAAGGACAGCAATGATCCTCATTTCATGAAGGTCTTTGCCCCTAAGGGTTCCTTTCTGGACACAGCCATGAGGCCTGCAAGGAAGGCAGAGAACCCAAGACAAGCAGAGTACTTTCCAAGAAATATTGAAGAATGAGACACTTTACAACCTGAAGATAACTGGATCTTTTCAAAAATCCCTGTACCTTTGGCATGCCGTGAGTTTTAACATATTCTGACTTGTAATTCTTCCACAGTATGCAAGACCAGAAGCTAATCTTGGACAATCAGAGACTAATTTATTTTTCCTATAAATTCTCTGACATGGGGTATTGTGTGAGAATTGGTGAAATAATGCATTATACCAGTACAACTAGTGAATCCCAAGGATACTCCCTTGATGAAGAAACTATCCAGGGTCACAATGCCTGTCTCATTTCTCCCCAGAATAAATCCTCTCAGGACAACAAAATCACAAAAGTTTGACAATGAAATAGCACTTTCCTTACACTTGGATGGTTGGTTGTTCTCTGGGGCATGTACTCTGTTCCACGTTTTGAGGCTTGTATTTAAGCCCCATCATGAAAATAACTTTTGCACAGCTTCCACAAAGGTGTCCCTTTGATGCCCCCTGGTTTTGAGGCATGGAAGTCTGTCTTGTGTTGTGATGGTGATGGATGTTGCTCTTTAGTATGGACTCTGACCACTGCTTGAACTCATAATGCGGGGGTGCCACACTTGCTGCATTCAAGCTCTACCTCTAGGACGTCTTCTCACATGTTGTGCAAGCTGTGAACTGTGCCGGAAGAGCTTGGCACCTGCAGACATTTCCATGGTTCCTCTCCAGCGTGGATCAACTGATGTCCACTGACACATGAGCACTGAAGACAGGCTTGGCCAAAGTCATGCTTTTGTGCCTTACCTGACATGTACAGAGGGCTGAGTGCATAGTAAAGATTTGCAACCATGGTACATTTGTGAGTTTCTGTTCCAGCAAGAATCCTGATAAGAGGCTTTTACCATAGGGCCTGTTTACATCCAATGAATGTGTGACGTTCCTCTCTATCACAGACTAAGTTACTAAGCCTTAAATGAGGCCTGCGTCACTCTGTATAGTCATTACACACGGGAGATAATTTCTCCACTAGGAATTCTCTGTGGTCTTGCACGGTTTGAATGCTGACTGAGACTTTCGTCTAATTCATTTGTGGTTTTATTCTAGGATGAGAAATTGACAATGTGCACAATAGGAAATGTCAGTGAACACTTTGCCTAGCCCTCTTGGTGTGGATCACTTTATTGGCGAGGCCAGATGAACCTTATAGGGTTTGCAACCCTCATCACATTCATTGGGTTTCTCTCCACCATAAATGCTTGATATGTGAGATGTCAATGTTACTGAAGACCGCAACACATTTGTTGCATTACTATTTTCCTCTTCTGGGGTTTAGGGATTGAACCCAGGGACTCAAAATGTGTTAGGTGGTCATTCTACCACTTGGCTACATCACAGCCCTTTATTTCATATTTAGAGAGTCTCACCATTATGTCCAGACTGGATTTGCACTTGCCACCCTTCTGCCTTTCTCGGAAAGTAGGTGAGACGCACCACCCCTGCACTTTGATTACACGACTATGGCTTCTCTACACTATGGATCCTGCGGTGATGGGCTAGGGATGAATTCAGACTGAAGACCTTGCCACAGTCATTACATTTGTAAGGTTTCTCCCCAGTGTGGATTCTGCGATGACATGCTAGGTATGAATTTTGACTGAATACTTTGCCACAGTCATTACACTTATAAGGTTTCTCTCCCGTATGGATTCTGCGATGACATGCNCGATGACATGCTAGGTATGAATTTTGACTGAATACTTTGCCACAGTCATTACACTTATAAGGTTTCTCTCCCGTATGGATTCTGCGATGACATGCAAGATGTGAACTGCGACCAAACACTTTGCCACATTCATTGCATTTGTGAGGCTTCTCCCCAGTATGCATTATCAGATGTTCTGCTAGGTATGAGTTGCGGCTGAAGACCTTGCCACACTCATTGCATTTGAAAGGTTTCTCTCCTGTGTGGATTCTTTGATGATTTGCTAGGGAAGATTTGTGACTGAAAACACTGCCACACTCATTGCATTTGTAAGGTTTCTCTCCTGTATGAATTCTCCGATGTTGTGCAAGGTGTGAAATGTRACTGAAGACCTTGCCACACTCATTGCATTTGTACGGTTTCTCCCCAGTGTGGATTATCAGATGTTGAAYGAGGTAMGARTTGCGACTGAAGACCTTGCCACACTCATTACATTTGAAAGGTTTCTCTCCTGTGTGAATGGTTCGATGTTGTGCAAGGTGTGAAATTTGGTGGAAGACCTTTCCACATTCATCACATTTGTAAGGTTTCTCTCCGGTGTGGATTCTACGATGACTTGCCAGGTGTGAAATCTGATTGAAGACCTTGCCACATGTATCACACTTGTAAGGTCTCTCCCCAGAGTGAATTCTCTGGTGGTTTGCCAGGTAGGACTTCTGACTGAAGACTTTGCCACAGTCATCACATCTGAAAGGTTTCTCTCCAGTGTGGATTCTCTGATGTTGTGCAAGGTGTGAACT